AACACTTAAAAATTTTTGATACAATGATCAAACCTATTCTTTGTTATACATCACGGATTTGGGGGTATGAATTTAGTCCAACTTTAGAATCTGTTCATAATATGTTCTGTAAGGGTTTATTAAATGTTCGAAAAAATACAAATACAAGCATGGTGTTAGGTGAATGTGGTAGACTCCCACTTTGTATTACTTATTATACAAATTGCATCCGTTATTGGTGTAAGCTATTAGTTATGCCACCATGCCGTTACCCAAAACAATGTTATCTAATGTTAAAATCACTAGATGAAGCTTGAAGAACTTGTTGGGCTAGCAAAATACGAATACTTCTGTACAGTTACGGATTTGGTTACATTCGGATTTCTCAAGAAATAGGAGATGTGAATATTTTTGTTAGCATTTTTAAACAACGCATAATAGATTGTTATACTCAAAATTGGCATGATAATATTAACAATGCCAGTAGATGTCACCATTATTGTTATTTTAAAAGCTTATTAAATGTAGAACGGTATCTTCTAATAGAAATCCCTGTAAAACATAAGAAAGCATATGCTAAATTTCGATGTTCAAATCACAAACCTAATGTTGAAATCGGTAGGCATTTAAATATACCTTTTCAAGAACGCTTTTGCAACTTTGGTCTTGAAAATCATTTAACTTATCATATTGACTGTGAATATCATGCTTTTTTTCATTGTAAACAATATTTAGAAATTAGAAATACCTATTTACTAAACTGGTATAATTCCGGAAATGAACTACATAACTTTTATGAATTACTTTCATCAAATGATATTTTTATAATTAAGAAAATCTCTACTTATATTTACCACCTCATGATATCTATAGCACAGTAGCATTTAAATGTAATGATTGTAAAAACTTGTAAAAGACACAACTTTATAATGTTAAATACCATATTTTGTATGACATGTATTTTGGACCGGTGGCCTTTATTTACTGAATAAAATTTTTTGACTTGACTTGACTTTGGCTTGAGAATGATTGCAACATTAAAAAATAGAAAGCAACAAATTTCACTGGAGACAGCTTCAAAGATTGCCACATTAAATATTAAGAATGCGTATCTCTAAATATACCAGATTTAACCACAGTTATTGCCAAAGATAGCCACATTGAATATCTAGAACGCCTTTCTCTGTAGGCACAATGTTTGACTGGAGACATGGTCAAAGATTGCCACATGAAATACCTGGAGCGTCAATGTCCATATGTACCACATTTCAGTGATGACACTTCCGAATATTGCCACATGAAATATCTAGATCGCCTATTTCTAAATGTATTAGATTTGGCTGGTAATATTGTCAATGATTACAACATAAAATATCTAGAATGCATGTTTCTAAAAGAAACATATTTGACTTGAGACACTGTCAATGATTGCCAAATAAAATATCAAGAAGGCGTATCTCTTAATTTAACCAGGAGTTATTGCCAACGATTGCCACATGTTATATCTTAAACTCAGGTAGCATATTAGGCTGGATACATTCCCTAAGACACATAAAACATAAAGAACGCATATCTTTACACATACTAGATTTGGCTTGAGACATTATCATAGATTGCTCATGAAATATAGAGAACGTCAATCCCTACAGTCACCAGATATGGCTGCAGAGATTGTCAAAGATTGCCATATGAAATATTTAGAACTATTATCTCTACAGGTACCAGATTTGACAAGAGAAATTGTCAAAGATTGCCATATTAAATATCAAGAACGCATATCTCTACATATTCTAGATTTCGATGGAGATATTTCAAAGATTGCCGCATGAAATATCTAGAACCTTGCCTCAAAAGGTGCCAGATTTACCTGAAAACATTGTCAAATATTGCCACATGAAATATCTAGAACGCCTATATCTAAAGGCACCAGGTTTGCCTGGAGACATAGTCTAACATTGCTACATAAAACATAAGAAAACATATCTGTACATGTATCAGATTTGGCTGCAGATATTTTCAAAGATTGCCAAATAAAGTATCTAAAATTTCTATATTTTCAGGCACTGAGACTGGAGACTTTGTAAAAGATTGCCACATATTACATCAAGAACGCATATCTCTACATGTACCAGATTTGGCATGAGATATTATCATGGATTGCTCATGAAATATATAGAACGTCTATATCAACAGGTACTGTTGATTGCGCTGGAGATATTGTCAAAGTTTGCCACATGAAACATTTAGAACGTCTATTTCTTTGGGCACCAGATTTGACTGGATACATTGTCAAAGAATGCCACATGAAATATCTAAAACGCCTGTCTCAAAAGGTACCAGATTAGCCAATTTCCACTGAATCAAGGGCAATAACTCTGTCAATGCTGACTATTTTATTTATTTGTAAAATATGATATTACAATATGCTGGTAAACAATTGTATTATTCGTAATGAAAACATGATAATTTAAAGATAAATTTATAGGTTATTTCAGTCTTATTCATGAACATACAAGAAATACATTTACATATCAATATTCAACATTAAAATGTAAAAGTACTTGATCAATCTATTACAAATTTATAGGTGACGTATTTTATTTTACAAATCAATAAACCTTTCTAACCTCTTACATCTACCTATCTATACACATTCATAGTCTATTCTTTCTTTCTTTAGCACTTTATTTCATCTTTTTAGCACTAACAACACAATCTTCTTTTGTACATTACAATGTAATAACGTGTAAGCCGGCAATAAATGTGCCTTTAAATGTAACTAGAACTTCTTTAAATGTGACTTTATTACCCCTGCCAACAAATTGATAGTTAACACTATGACCAACTTACCTGGAGTTGACTAAAGCGAAAAGAAAATTACAAACAGACCGACAAAACAATGTGTCTTGCACATCTTGAAACCATCTAAACGGCATACAAGTATATTTGGAAAATGTTTTCTCAAAACATGAAAAAGTATTTTGCGACACAAACTTACAATACTGCATCTATATTATGTTATATAGTGACGGAAATACCAGAACATATGTTCCAAACAGATCGACGAAAATATATGTGTCTTGCACATTTTACGTACAAACTAAATTTGAAAATGATTGATGAAAACCTGTATGAGTAGTTGGTGACACAAACTTACACAGCAGTTTCATTACGTTATATGGTAACGGAAATGGCGGAACGTAAATTACAAAACAGAGTGAAAATAAATGAGTCTTGCACATCTTCATCCCATTTGCAAGACATATTCCAAATCTGAATATGTTTGCTCAAAAACTGTGGGAGAAGTTTGTGACATAAACTTGTAGCGAAAATGTATTATGTTGTTCGATAACAAAAAAGACAGTAACGTAATTACAAATTAAGCAGTAAATATATGGCCTGCACACCTTCAACCCACCTGAAAGACATATACTAAATTTTAAAATGTTTGCTAGAGAACTGTAGGAGTAGTTCGCCTCAAATCTTACTTAGTCTGTGCCTATATTACGTTATTTTAGCAACGTGAAGTGTGACTTGCACATATTTAACCATGATCTACAAGTCATATACAAAATTTGAAATGTTTCCTTAAAAAAATGTGTGTTCGTGACACAAACGTAAGGACGGACGTCCGGCCAGATTGGAATAAGGGGCCATTTCTATTGTTTAATAGAGGGCAAAGAGCCACTTATTCGTTTGTTACGGAATGGACTTCTGTTCTTTTGTGTTCTGTTTACAGTTAAGTCATCCCCCACCTCTTTTCGGTAGCCCGGAAGGACGGAAGGTAAACTTATAGTCACATCTGGTAAAACCATTTATATAAAAATGAACTTTTATTTGTTTGCAAATTAACCAACGAACTTTAAAAATCCCTGTTCATTTATGTTTTGGAATTAACCGAATTCACAAATGATTTTATTTTCAAAACTTAATTAATCATTATCATTATACCAATATATAGATTTAAAAATTAATTTAGATGCCCGAATGAAAAAAATCCAACTGTTTTTAAATATCAATTTCTATGCTTATAACACAATTTACGCAAGCACAATGCACGTTCAAACACAAATGAATACCAGTTTATATGAGAGAATAACGCTATAAAACTATGTGATAATTTAGTGGTAGCACACCTTCACAACGATCCCTTCACCAAGATGACAACGATTGCAAAACGTGACACCCCATTTTTTTTACCGGTGAAGACACAGCGCAGTGTTACCGTAACACCGTTAACACGTGTTTTTTCCCGCCATAATTTCGAAGGGCGAAGTTTGGTACTAAATTTCGCATGTATTAAATTTCGCTAGTCTCTCATGCGATAATTAGCGCCCTTCAAGGCGATAATTATCGCGTGAGAAACACACAACATACGAAAATTAAGACGATAATTATCGAGGCGAAATTGTTAAATTTCGCTAGTATAAGTGTCTCTGGTCTTTTGAAAGGGCTATAATTATCGCGTGAGAGACTAGCGAAATTTAAGACATGCGAAATTTAGTACTAAATTTCGCCCTTTAGAGGCGATAATTATCGCGTGTTACTAGCGAAATAATGTGGACGAAATAGGATTCCGTATTTTTACAATAATTTTAGTTATTCATGTAAAACGTTTTAAGTTATCTGCCTAGGCAAATCTAAGCACAGTATCCGTTTATGTAAACACTTGGTTATGCAGAAATATTCAATAAAAGTTTGATTAAAATGTAACGATTGTCATAACAAATTAATTAAAATTTTATACGTATAAACCTTTCTTTTCTTCTCAATTCGCTGACAAAAATAAGTGAACTTATCACCTTATTAGCTGTAAATCATTTCATACTGATAAAATTTGAACAATTTGAGGGGTGGATATGGGCAACAGTGACTCTGAATATGATTTTCATATTGATGGCAGCTGTTTTATTATCTTCATATGAGAGTTATTCGAACATATGTCTTACCGGAAATTAACTTTTCTTTTTTACCGATGCAAATTTCCATGAATCATACGAAGTTGGTCCCCCGTGATTTTCTAAGTAAAGCTCTTATATACAGATATGGAATTTGATATATGCCAAATCATTTTTGTTAGGCTTTCTGCAAACAAAGAGAGTCTGTATTGTTGTATGTACAAGATGCGGCGGAAAATGCGTTTATAGTCAGAATGCTAGGCCGCTTGAAATGTAAGTTTATCTTCTAATTGGCATCGTGAAGAAATAAAAATATGTAAAATTAATTTTGCCATCACGTATTTATGATGCCGTATTATAACTATTCTGTTAGCCAGATGGTTCTATTTTACAAGCCCCATTCACCTCTGTTCATAATTACTTAGATCATATTTTGATAAGTTTTTAGACCTCGTATAATCTGCTTAAATAAAAGTGAACTGTTCATATTTGTTAACGATAAAAACACTATTTGGACACCTTCTTCATTTCAAAGCTAGTAATAACGGCGAAGAAAGAATAATATTGATTTATGAATAATGATAATGAACCGAGTGTGCCAATTAATTATGATTTTCTAATTTAACTTGACTTTTAATAACAATTTATGATGATATCAATGAAAAACGGCATTTCTTACTGTCGAAGTAGTTAATATGCATGCTACGTTCTAACAAATTTGAAATAGTATAATTAATATCACTCATGCTGTAGCAAGTCCTCATTGGCTATTGGGTTTGACTGACCAAGGGTCTGAAGGAAAGTGGAAATGGATCGACACAAGTGCTCCAGCGACATTTATCAAATGGGCTCGCGGTATGTGTAAAAATACAAAACTAGTTTTTGGAATGATAAAATGTTATATTTCAGACAATAGTTTTTTGTTTTCTTTTTTAACACAAACAAATAATAAATAATATGCAAACTGTTGAATTTGAAATAGAATGGCATAACAACTATCCGGGTATCCAAGTTTTATTTTGGTATGTATATAATTCATAGGTTCAAGGATAACAGTAAAAATAATTTGCTTTTGATATAATTATAATTTGTAAGTAAACATGAATAATGATTAACATAATACAGCTACAAATCAGAAGGTTTTGTATCATTATAAAATGAATGTTTTAGGTCAACCGGAAGGTCGCACAAGACAGAACTGCGTGGTGTACAGCACTTCTGCCTCATATCATTGGCATGACACAGAATGTACTAAGCGATATCCATTTATCTGCAAAACAGGTATTCTGTCATATTTAAGATTATCATCATACAGACCTTAACAAATTTATTTTCTTTCATAACTGATGTGTGTACAGTACTTGTAATACATTTATTTTAGTATTTAATCAATAATTCTAACAGAAGGAAAAACTCATTGTTTTCATACTTACAGTCTTATAATACTTTATAAATAGTTACTGTGATTTACTTGATTTTATTGTCGATTTAAGCACAAACAAACAAATACATATGCATAGGGTGTTTGTTATAATTTGATCATATATTTTGAGATACGTACATATGCTCATATATTTAATATTTTTTATAAATGTTTTATTTTATATTATTGTAGTAAAATCGACAACAGGAAGACAACAACATATATTTGTTCATTGACGTATCTATCGTTATTTCCGTTATGTTACTAAAGACACTTTCACACAATATTATGTAATGAATGGCGACCAGCAAAGAATTTGCCAGATCTTATACTACTTTATCATTATTATAGATATGGAGTAATTTCTCCGTCACTTTCTTTTTCTTTTGTTCTTTTCTTTTCTTTTTTTGTTGCGAATTTTAAAACGATGCTCAATGACAATATATAGTAGATCATTTGTTTGTTTGTTTTTACGACAGTAAAGTTAAAGCTATGATGTATGAGGTTGTTTTTTATGACTATATTACACATATAGTGAACCAAAAAAGAAACTTTCGCAAAGTATGTGCCAGTCGTTCAAGGGCACCACTTAGATGTACACGCTTATATACATGTATTAGCTTGTAAAACTCGCTTTGTTTGCAAAATCGATCAGCTAATCCCCGTATAAAAGCCCAATATATTTATTCAACGTAAAAATCGAGTTTCAAAAGGATTGAAAAACTGTACTGTAAGACATGTAAGCTTGTTATTGTTACTGAAATATTCTATTTTTAGAATCATTATTTATTTATTAAATAATTACTTTTTGTCATTTTTAGCATTTAAGTAATGTAAACGCAATATTCCTATTCAAATAAGGACAGTAAAGTTATTATATTGTTTTCAGCATTTTAATTATTCACTATGTATAAACGTTCCTAAAATTGAATGTTACCTTTCTCCGAATTTCATGTTAGATTGTTGACATTTTAGGAAGCACGATTATTTCTTTATTACTGGATTAACATGTCTGTTACTCCACATTTTTTGTAGTATCCATTATGTTTTGATGTTATAATCAGTAATTGTTCATGAAACATGCTCTAATCAATTTTATTTTTTGTCTAAATAATAATTCCTAAAACTTTCCCAAAATGTTTCATGGAGGCTGCCATCTTTGTTTTAGGTACACGAGTACCGATATCTGTAGTTTGTTTAGAAATGAAGCATATTTGACTTTATTGTGTAACATGTATTTTGTATTATGTGATTATAATGTTTGCTTCTCAAATTGTTCAAGAGATTTATTGTAATAATTTATTTGTGTAAAACAAGACCGCACTATTTGTTCGGTCATTCGCGTAGTAAAGTTAGGTTGTTGGAATCACCCTAATTCTCTTTAAATTGTAATAATCCTGCTAAATTACCATAAGTATTTAATTGAGATGTATTTAATAGCGTAAGTGTTATTTCTCAACATAATGATTACTTACAACTTCATATGTTTACTTTGTATTTTGTTATTATGATCTGTTGAGCTGTTTACTCATTTTAGGATGGGAATTCCTAACCGATTCTGATTGGCTTAGATAAATCCTAAGTGCAATCTGATTGGTCGAGAATCCTATCCTGAATTCCTTAACGGCTCAAAGGTTATAAATAGAGCGACAGTCCTCATTTTGGAACAACAACGCCCACTAAAGTTGCTTAGGCGCGATAATTCAAAACTGAGCAGAAAACATCAAAACTGAATTTTAGTAAGTTTCTATTTAGGAAAGACTCCTAAATCACATTGGAATATGTATTTAACTTTTATTAAGCAACTTTTCCTGAATGAGAGCTGACGTACTTCGTGTTATAACTTTTAATCCTAAACTAAACGGATATTAGACCAAAGAATCCAAACTTGATAAAAGCGTTGTTGACTTATATTTTAGGAAAACATAAAATCACTTAACATAGCGCCTTATGAAATGATGCCGAAACTTATTTCTGTATATTGATGATAAGATATATTAAATGTTAGAATATATATATGCAGTTTATGTATACAAAACTATGTATACACTATTAAACCAAAGAACTGAAACTTGATGAAAGCGCTGTATTATTTATTCCGGAAATCCTAAAGAAAAGATTCTACTAATATAACATTGAAACCGGGTGCTGTATATAACTGATGCTAAGTTAGCATATATGTTTATACAGTAGAACTTGTGGCGTATTTTTGAAACAGCTATCCTGACACTGCGGCAAAAGTACGTTACAAACTGGTGTCAGAAGTACGGTATTTTTTTTTAAGTTTTATATATCGCATAAGAACACACGTCTTCAATTAATTTGAGATAGAAAACGTATTTTTCTATCTGTGAATATGTCTTCACCTGATCCCGAAGTTTCATTCCCGTTGTTGAATGAACATAGAGACGATCAATTGGATGAATCACAGGACAGCAATGGCTTTCCTGCAGATGTTGTCTGTGATAGAGATAATATCACAGGTATTGTTACTTCAAATGATAACGGGGATTTTTCGCCAAATAACCAGTTACCGCCTAGAGATGGTATTCATATTTATCAGCAAGCTAGTAATAGAACAAACAATAACTATGCCGGTGATTTTATACAATCGGCTCCCGCATTACACCATTCCATGTCACATACAGTTAAACTCGACACATATGATGGTTCACAATGTTTTGAACAATACTTGTCACATTTTGAGGATTGTTCTGAATTAGCGTGTTGGGCTGCAAATACACGCGTCCTTATCTTATCAGCTAGTCTTAGAGGACCGGCTCGAACCTATTACATGACATTGCCAGTCGCTGAGCGCAGGGACTATAGTACGTTAGTTTCTAGACTACAAGACCGATTTGGTAGTCTAAAGCACCAAGCCCTGTGGTTACAAAAGCTAGAGAGCAGAAAACGTCAGAGAGGTGAGAGTATCGCGTCTTTAGGTGACGATCTAAGGCAACTTGCGCAAAAAGCACACTCAGATCTTGGAATTAAAGCCAAAGAAAAACTTGCTTTAAATCAAATGTATAAATCTTTATCGACCGACATGAAATGCCGTTGCGTAGATAATGACTGCACATCAGTAAATGAAGCAGTTACTGTGATAGAACGCTATGAAAGCATTTTAGGATTACAAAACACAGCCCCGATTTCGAGCTTTCGAGAGTTCATCAAAACCACAAAATGAGGGTGATGAACTGAAATCTATGATAAAGAAACTTGAGGTTAAAATTGAAAATATTGAGCGTGCGTGTAAAAATAAACTCTAGTCAAGCTTCAACAAGTAACACAAGACTGTGTTTCGGTTGCAACTCTGCAAATCATTTGTGGAGAAACTGTGTCCAATGAACAACAGTAACAAGGTTTCTACTGGTAACAGAAACAAAACAATTATTTTCCACCGTTCTAATAATGACAGCAACGCAAGCGGTTATAAAAACGTCTCCAGCTTACAATCGGGCGCAATTCAGTCAAAATTTTCGGAAAAACTAACTGCCGCTGATTCTGTGGGCAAAGAATCAGCATCTACCAAAATGCCCAATTTAACTTACCGAAATTCACACGCTCGCGCCTGGTTCAGACCTTAACATATTTTGATAATGGATTTTACACAACATGCTTATTGGGGTCTATTCAGTGGATTTTCTCCAGTTGATTGTGGAGCAAGCGTACTTCTATAATTTCGAAAAGAAAAACTTCTTTAGATGGACCCAGACAACAGTTTATTTCCACTTTCACTCAGTTTCAGCAAAACCTTACATGCATGTTAACGGTGAACATGATTGTTGTTATGGTAGCGTTGATCTTGTTAATTCAGCTTGGTGATCAGCGCTAATGACGTGACATTCTCGTATGCAAACATAGATTACAGAGGTTATCTTAGGGACCAAGATTTTTGAAACAAATGTAAGATAGTATCAATTATAGACAAAAACTGCCTTCAAATGGAAATGATTTTTTGTACTCTTTGTGAGATGGAGAAAAGCCATTTCAGGTTTGAGGGTTGAAGTAAAAGATACTGTACGCCTGCCAGCTCAATCTAGAATGTGGATACCTGTTAAATTCCATCATGTCAGAACATCTTTTAGAGGACAGTTTTCTCGAGCCATCTTCACATGGTTATGGCTCAGAAAGAGGTCATTATGATGAGCGGTTATAGTAAAAACAAACCATGAGTTCGTGAATTAATGCTTATTAATTATGGACCAAGATACAGTAACCTTGTATAAGAATACGAACATAGGTACCTGGCGAAAATCATACTTTTGAAGAACAAGATACGACTTCTGCACGGGTTGCACGTGTTCTTCAATCTGAATTTGACACAGAACCAATCTTTACCTAGACCATTCTTAAAAGATCTTTATGAACGCAGTTACTAAAGATTTTAAATGACACTGAGAAGAATGGTTTGTGTTAAAGCTTTTATGCAAATACTCACAGTACTTTCTTCAAAATCTCCAGAAGATATAGGTTTAACAAACATAGTTCAATATTCCATCAATACAAACAGTGCTCAAAACCAATCCGACACCCCCACGTCGTTTGCCTTTAGGTAAACGTGCAATTGCGAAAAAGAAGAGGGTAACAAAAAATGCTTTGAAAGAGGTGTTATTGAGTCCTGCAAATAAGTGCCTGGGCATCACCTGTATGTCCTTGTCACTAAGAAAGATGCGAACTCGAGGTTTTGTATAGACTACCTGGAAGTTAAATGATGTTACTGTCAAAGACGCATATCGTTGCCTAGAGTCGATCGACTGTATTGATTCATTGTCTGCGTGCGAAATATTCAGTTCATATAGACGCTAAAATAGCGGGTTTTGGCAGGTTGTATGAAAACCAGAGCGACAAGAAAAGACAGCCTTTGCTACCACTGTTGGCCTATTCCAATTTTTCTGCTCATGACAGGTTTGGACGTCCCTTAGCAAAATGCCCCTTCTACATTTGAAAGGCTCATGGAAAATGTCTATGCGTGGCTGTCAATGGGGTAAGAATGTCTTCTTTATATGGAATGATATTATTTGTCCCAAGTTAAAACAGTTGCCGCATGGCCATTGAGAGACTCGAACATATTTTTCAAAGGCTTAAGGAAGACCAACCTAAAACTCAAACCATCTAAATGCATTTTTTTTCAAAGCAAGTAAAATTTTTAGGTCATCTTGTTTCAGAATCTGGTATTGCAACGAGCCCGAAAAATTTCAGCTGATGCAAAAATTGGCAGACACCTCGTTATGCTAAATGATGTTAAAAAGTTCCTTGGCTGTCTTTGCTCGTATTATAGGCGTTTTGTTGTAGGCTTTGCAAAAATTGCGAAACACCTTAAATCAAGCAGCTGAGAAATCTGTTAAATTCCTTTGGAACGAAGGAATGTGAAAAGGCTTTTAAATCAGGTAAAGCTAGCGTTTAACCTCATCACCTTATTTTAGGATACCCTTTACCAGGCTTTCAGTTCATACTAGATTACAGACTCAAGTCATTTTTCAACAGGCTCTGTTC